CCTCCCCTCTCTTTAAAATTTCCCGCCAGTTGGCCGGCTTGGGGCACAAGCCACGCCCTTTCAGGAGTCCCTCCCCTTCTGCTCTGGCACGCCCACCCACAGCGAGCGGACTCGGCCAATCAGAAGAGGCCTTAGGCGGAGGCTGCGATCCAGCGAGCCAATAGGCGGGTAGCCGGAGCCGGGCTTGCCCGGGCATGTAGGAGCTGCGGGCTGTCTGGACGCCACGTGCGGGCCGGAAGAGACGCGCGTTACTACAGGTGAGCTCGGGGCTCCTACTCCGGGGCGACGGGGTCGGGCGGGCTGGCGCGGGGTGTCCCAGGCCGCGGCTCGCCGCACGTTGTGTCCGCCCGGCCTGCGGCGGGGAATGCCTGGACTCGGCCGACCGGACTCTTCGGGCAGGCAGGTGTGCAGGCCGGGCCCGGGGCGCCGCCTCTGTCCCTGCCCTGCTCGGGGGTCTGGGGCCTGAGGGGGCGGCGCTGGGCGATGGGACTCGGCTCGGCCCGCGGCCAGTAAGCGACCGACGCCCGAGTCCGTCCGGGTGAGTCCGTCCGGGTAAGGCCGGGCCACCCACGCGTCACGCCTCCGAGAGCGCCAGCCAGCGGGGCGGGCGCGGGGCTTTCCTCGGACTTTTTTTTTTTTATATATATCGTGAACGTTTGTAGCTCAGGGGACCTTATCCGAGCAGGTTTTCCCAAGTTTGGGCGATTATCGTAATCATGGCTTTGGGGTTGGGGTCGCACGCTCTTTTTTACAGCACAGCTTCTCGGCTCGTTCCCCCAAATGGCAGTTAAGACGGTGTGGGGGTGGGCCCGAAAATCGGCCTTTTAAACAAAAGTCTTGGTTCTGCTAATTAACTGCTTTTGGGAAGCTCTAACCTAATTCTAAGCCCTTCGTTTATGCTGAAGGAATAGTTTGTTGTTTTTTAAAGATGACCGGTAAGGGGATCTTAACCCTTGACTTGGTGTTGTCAGCACCACGCTCTCCCAAGTGAGCCATGGGCCGGCCCTTGAAGGAATAGACTTACCCCAGGTCATCTAGCTGTTTTAGTGTCAGGGCACTTTGGGGCCTTTGCTCCGTGGACGCTGCTACTTGGGCCCTTACCTGAGGCCAGGGACCCCAACCCGAAGGCCCGGTGTCTGCTGTGCTGACCTCCAGAGCGCCGGGTCAGGCTGGAGAGAGAGATTCGTATTTATCCTTGCTGAAAGGGTTGTGCTATTTGAGCGAAACTTCTCCCCAACTTCACTGAACTCCACCTGGGGCCCCAAGGTGGAGGAGGTGTGCCCTTGGTAATTGTTGGTTCTGACATGTCAGCAAGGTCAGGGCTTATGGAAACGGACTGCTTTTTTGTATCTCTTGAATCACGAGGCCACAGAGACCTTTTCTCAGAGAACCTAATTTCTGGCTTCTTTAAAACCTTGCCAGCAATGTCAGGAAAGCCACTCACCCTAGTCCTGGCTTCAGCTCCTGACCTGCAAAGCCCTCAGCCCCTCTCAGAGAAAGGATAGGAGTAGAGGCTCCGCCTGGAGCTCGATCTCCAGGACAGGATTCTAGTGGAGCCTGCAGGGAGGGAGGATGGGGTGGCCTGACACACTCCTCACCCAGTCCGCTGCCTGTGTGTTCTCTCTACAGGGTGTTGCCCCGTTGGAAGACCATTTCCCAGGCTTCCCTTGCCTCCGCAGTCAGTTATTAGCAGGGTCAGCGATGGCCTTGTTCTCCCATTGCTGGGCTGAGGCAAACTGAGATTCTGAATTTGCCAGCTCTAAGATGTGACTTGTCAATATGAGGAAGTTGGTTACAGCCTTTCCTAAAGAGAAGGGGTGTTGTGGGGAGGAGACAGCAAGCAGAAGGTGGATGAGTCAGGACAGGTCACCCTGCCTCGCCCTTGCCTCATGCAAGCAGAGGGCGGATGAGTCAGGATACGTTGCCCTGCCTCACCTTGGCCTCATGCAAACACTGGCATCACCAAACCTGACACTCACCTGACCTTCCACCTCCCCCTTTCCTTAATCTCTGCTGCTACTGCTTGGATTCTTACCTTCTCCAGACCTCTTCCTATAAGGCAGTCGCAATCCTTTCAGCCTCTCCCTAAAACCCTTTGGTGGTTCCCCATTGGTCTCTGGATTAAGCCCCGACTTGTCCCCAACCTTCAGGAACAGCTCTCTTGCCATCTTTGCCCCACCTGTCTCCTCATCCACCCCGCCTCCTTGCCTTTCACTTGCAGCACCAGACTCCTTGCCCTCCCTCAATGATGTGCTGTGCCTCCAGGGCTTTCTGCCTGCAGCTTCTCTTTCTGAAAGCCCTTCGCTTCCTGACAGACCTTCCTGAAACCCTTCAAAGTGTCCCCTTCACTTCCAGGCCCTCCCTAAGCCAGTGTTTCTGACTGTTCCAGTACCCGTCTGGGCCAATTCAGGTGGCCTTCGCCTTAGTCCCATCAACCCCATCCTGAGCACACCCTTGTAATTTTCCAACTACCTGTCTTTCTTCCCAGCAAGCTAGGAGTTCCCTGAGAACACAGTCAATGCCAGCTCTGTAGTCTCCATGGTCTGGCAAATAGCAGGCCCAGCTTCAGCTCTCTTCCCACACTTATGTAGAGGACCCGCTGTGTGCCAGGTCCTAGGCTGGCTGTTGGAAAGGAACAAACAAGCCTCTATCCCTGCCTTCAGAGAGCTCTGAGGTAGACTATCAGTAGCTATTGGCTTTGAAGAGTATGATAAATTTTCTAATTGTGCTATAAGAGCACAGAGAGGTGAATTTCTTTGCTCCTCAACTAGACTATTAATGTCCTGGGTTGGGGCTACTGCGTGATATTTCAGTGACCTCCTTTGGTGCTTCTGGGGTTCCCTCACTCACTTGACCAGCAGAGACCAGTGTGGGGACATCAGCTTGGGGTAGGGTGTCTTGTGGAAGGGCCACCAGAGTGGGGAGCAGAAGATGACGTGTAAGAAGGGAAAAGGAGCAGCGTCGCCAGCCATAACTCTCTTTACATGTTACACACCAGCAACATCAGGCTGCCATGGGCCCCTTTTCCTCTATCCTGGGTTGCTCCTCTTTTGGGCCATAGCCCCTAACATGGCTGCTGATTCCTTTCCCTTCCACCTGGAGGGTTATACCACTTGCATTCACACAGACTGAACCTCTTGTAGGAAGCCTCCAGGGAGTCATCCTCCAGCCTGTTTTACATCCTAGCACCTGTAATCCAGCCCTTAACACACTTCCTGCTTCATTTCTGCCTCTGTGGCGAGACTAAACTTCCTGGAGTCCAGGATCCTTCTTTGTAACTGCCCAGCACCTGGCACAGTTGAGTCCCCAGAAAGCCTCAGTGTGGCATTGGCCTGCGCAACCCAGTGGTATAAAGTGGTTGTTCCAGAAGGACTTCTGGATGACAACAGAACAGTCTGAAAGAGTAGGAGGGATGTGAGTGGGAAGGGAGGCCAGGGAAGGCCTATGGATTGAGAAAGGGCAGTGAGTCCAGGCGTAGGCAGCTCTAGCGTGGGAAGAGCTAGTTACCAGCTCTTTTTACCCTCCTTGAGGGGAAGGGAGCAGGTAGTTATTGAGCCCCTACTGTATATAATACATGCATATCTCACCATACATCATATTGGGACATTTTTTCTTCACAAGGAAGGAAGGTGGTGGGACCATTTCACATCCTAGGAAACTGAAGCTCAGCAGTTTAGGTAATAAAGAGCCAAGTGAAACCCTGCTCTTCAACTTCAAAGCCCTGGTTTTCTGGTCTTAAAAATGTACCGACTGACTTGGCATAGCTAATGAGGAGGTGAGGTTTTTCAAGCTAGAGGCTCGGCTATGGGAAGATGCTGGCTTTATTGCATGGACTTTGCAAACTCATGAGTATCAGACATTTCCTGTGAAAGCATCTCTTTTCATCCCAGCATTGAGTAAGAGCCTGAAATTGGCTGGGGTGGGAGTGCACCACAGAAATCTGCAAACACTACAGATCAGGCTTTTAAATATTTGTAGATGCTGAATCATGTTGTGATTCATGAACCAAAGTCATTTAAATAACTTGTGGGTGCTGTAGATTGAATGTCCCTCTGAATTCATTAAGGCTTGGTCCCCACTGTGACAGTCTTAAGAGGGTGGGAAATCCTATTCTGGTAGTTGAAAGGTGGGGCCTTGAAGAGGTGATTAGATTGTGAGGACATGGCCCTAGTAAATGGATTGATTGTCTTGGGTGTGGTCCTGAGGCTTTCAAAGGAGGAGTGGGGAGTTATCTCTCCGTTCCACCATTATCACCGTGTGACACCCTGCATTGCTGTAGAGTCACCTCACCAGATGTGTTCCCTGGACTTTGGACTTCCCAGCCTCTGGAACTGTAAGGAATAAATATTGTTGCTCTACAAATCACCCAGATACAGGTATTTTGTTATAAGCAACAGAAACAGACTAATACAGTGGGCTTCCTGTGAATTTTTTTCTCCAGGTTCTGCTGAGCGTCTGTGCCTTCACACTTTATAAATGGCATTTGTTTTAAAATGGGATTGTATGCATATGTTGTTTCTCTAACCTTTATTTTCCTCTAATCATACCTCTGAAAATCTTTGATGCTACGGTATTGGAGGTTAGCTATGGCTTGAAGTTCTGAGGATGGACTCTGGCTGGGTTCATGTCATCCTTTGTCTTTTTCTTATTTGGCAAATTCTTTAACTTCAGTGCTTCGCTTTCTCGCCTGTAAAATGAGGATAAGAATGCTTTGTTCAGGTTGTTGGGGAGATTGAGTGATTCCATGTAGTACTTACAATGTTGATTTACACCTGGTATTTACGGTCCAAGAGAAGTTATTAGTAAACTAGGTCCCCAACTCCACCTGGGAGCCTTGAGCTCCAGAACAAGATTCTAGTGGAGTCTGCAGGGAGGGAGGACGGGGTGGCTTGGCACGCTGCTCACCCTGTCCCCTGCCTGTGTGTTCTCTCTCCAGAGTGCTGCCCCATTGGAAGATCACTTCCCAGGCTTCCTTTGCCCCCAGCAGTGAGCTGACTGGGATGGTGCCCAGGGAAGCCCCTGAGTCCACCCAGTGCCTTTGCCCTTCCCTTACCAGCCTCAGTGCCAAGGATGTGCTTCGGAGAAGGCACAAGAGGAGGAGCCGACAGCACCAGCGATTCATGGCGCGGAAGGCCTTGCTGCAGGAGCAGGGGCTGCTGAGCATGCCCCCAGAGCCAGGACCCCTCCAGCTGCCTATCCTGTCAGAGGCACCACCAGGCACTGCAGCTGCCAGCAGCAGGAGGCAGCGTCCAAGGGCTGAACCCAGCAGGGCCCCGTGCTGCAGAAGGCCCACCCCCAGGGAAGCGTCAGGGCCCTTGCCCAGCAAGTGTGTGGCTATCGACTGTGAGATGGTAGGCACGGGACCCCGAGGGCGGGTCAGTGAGCTGGCCCGCTGCTCCGTGGTGAGTTACCACGGCGACGTCCTCTACGACAAGTACATCCGGCCCGAGATGCCCATCGTGGACTACCGCACTCGCTGGAGCGGCATCACTCAGCAGCACATGCGCAAAGCCATCCCCTTCCAGGTGGCCCAGAAAGAGGTGAAGGCAGGGTTTGGGGGCTTGTTTGGGTCAGTGCGATGGACTGGGAAGAGCAGCCCCGGGTTTGAGTCACCACTTTACCATTGGGGGGTGAGAAACTTGGGGAAAGTCACTTAACTTACCATTGGGGGGGGGTGAGAAACTTGGGAAAGTCACTTAACTTTTCCAAATAGTAGGTTCCTTCTCTAGAATAGAGTAGAATAAATAAAAATCCTGATGCTACTTCCATATAAAGATATCTGGGGTGTGTTTTTGGAAAGGCTGTGCCAACTGTAAGGTGATAAACAGCTTACATTTTAAATTTGGTTTTCTGTTATAAAAGTATCACGTTTGTAAGGCCTACGGTCCTGTCACCTGGTGTTAATGTTTTGGCATATTTCCTTATGTTAGGTTTTCAGTGCTTTGAAAAAAATTACCAGGAATTCCCAAATGTTGGGAAAATAAAACTTGAACACAGGAAACACCTAAAGCCTTATTAGCAATATATGGATCTGTCTCTAGATCCCTCCCAGGGACATTCTGATCTAGTAGGTTTCTAGCTTGAGGAGGAGACTATGACGTGAATTCCTAAACATTATCATGCTAAGCAAACTTGCACCATAAAAGCCACAGAGCTTACAGGGAAATGGGGTTAGGGGCACAACACTCAAAAGATTTTGTCAGTGACACCCCAAAAATAAAAAGATAGGAACCTGATAAAAATGGAACACAGTTTTTCACATGTTAAATGGTTAAAGGAATGCATAATACACCAATAAGTATGCCACTTTATCTTGAAAAAGACCTGAAGTTTGCAGGTGTCAGGAGGGGTTGCAGCTTGAGTTATTGTGATGTGGTCAAAGAAAAATTATCTGAAACCTGACAGAAGGTGGTAACAACAGATGTCAGCAGGGGCAGCTCATCCCACGGGTAAACTAAGGTGCTGGTAGGCTTGAGGTGTGCACATATCGTGTATTCCCGTCGGGCTCAGTGCAGCTGCGTGCAGATTTCTGCATTCACTTAGTGCTTCTTAGGGATGTAATCATATATAAGCAAAGAACTTCATATTATTCTCAAATTCTTTCCTACTGCATCAATTACATTGGAACAAATTTTCATTTTCAAAACAAGCATTATAACAGAACTACTTTTTAACGTTTCTGGGTTATTGGGATTTGGAAAGTTTGGGAAATACTGATATACATCGTCTTGTGTCCTCATCTTCATGTAACATGGCCTTAGCATTTCTTTGAAAAGATTTGGAGATTATTTATCAAACAGGCCAATCAGGAATAGAAGCAACAGGAAGGGAGGTCTGTGCTGAGCCCTCCAGCTCCTTGGTCCCTTTTGTTGACCTGGTTGGTGGTCCCAAGAGCAGGATCACTTTTTGTCTGCCCAGACTCTCAGCCAGTGTGGTGTGTGCTTGATCTCTTCCCACTTCTAGGCTGACTGGGGGATGGGGGGTGGCATGTCCCTTCCATAAAGTCTTAATGTGTCTTATCCATCTGCCATGAAAGCTGGGGTTAGTGATAGGCATACATATGTTGCCAGCAGACGTAGGCTGTGAGAGGCCAGCAGCTGGTGATAAAGGGAGCCCAAGCCCAGTCAAGAGGGCGTGGAGGGGCGTTGCAGGCCCATGGCCTTGGACATGGCCTCCTTGGGATGTGAGGGAGGGCACCAGGCAGGGAGGAGAGGAGCACATTGTACAGGCAGCCAGAGCTGAGCAAGAGCACGTTTGGAGGGTGAGAAGGAGGAGTTGATTCGCAGAAGGACCAACGGTGGAATCCTGAAGATGCCGGCTGTGTCCCTTAGTCGTAATAAGAGCTGCTGCTACCAGTGCCAGGCACAGTTCTGTTGCCTCCACCCAACAGGTCTTTATTGATCACCTCCTGTGATCAATAAATAATAAATCAGTAAATGTGGTGCTTTCATTGCACCACTGATCAAGTCAAATGTAGTCCCTACACCCATGGAGCTTACAGTGGGGGAGAGGGGTGGCACTTAGGAAATGTGGTAGCTCCCCTGAAGGAGAGAACAACGGGTCCTAACACAGGTGGAACAGTCAATGGGAAGGCCTCCTGAGGCGGTGGCATTGAATCTGAGACCTGCAGCGTGACAAGTTGGGGAAGATTGGGGTAGGGCAGGCGAGCTGGCAGTTTCCAGGCTGAGAGAAGAGCCTGTGCCAGCAGCAAAGAGTTGCTTGTATCTGGTAACTACAAGACTTATTCATCCTCACAGCACCCCATGGAATGTTGGTAGCACTCCCTGTTTACAGGCACAGAGAACCTAAGTGTGCCTCAGGTTCTAGTCAGTGGAAGGGCTGGAGCCAGGTTTGAGGCAGCTTGGTAAACTGGAGCTCTCGGTCTACCCCCTTGGTGCTGCCTCCCTCCAGAGGGATCCCTGCACCTATGGGTCGTGGTCTTGGGATGTGTCTCCTGCAGGCCTGACAATGGGGCCTTCCTGACTCCTCTCTCCACCCACAGATCCTTAAGCTCCTGAAGGGTAAGGTGGTGGTGGGGCATGCACTGCACAATGACTTCCAGGCTCTCAAGTACGTCCATCCTCGGAGCCAGACCCGGGACACCACTTATGTTCCAAATCTCCTCAGCCAGCCCGGCTTCCACACCCGGGCCCGGGTCTCACTTAAGGATCTGGCCCTGCAGCTGCTGCACAAGAAGATCCAGGTGCGTGATGCATTAGCAGGGGAAGGTGCAGGACCACAGGCGGGGCTGTGGGCTATGGGCTGTGCCTCCAGCCTCCTTGTCATTCTTCCTCAGTCCAAGGACCTTGTGTAAAGCACGGGTCTCCCACTTGTACAGGAACCCCTGGGTGTTTCTCTCCATGATCCTTCTTCGCCGGTGTGTATTGTGATAGCCACATCCTTCCTGCCACATGCTCTCCCAGGTCTGTCCCTGCATCCCTGCAGGATGTTCTCCCATCTCCTCCAACAGGACATGGAGCTTTTGGTCCAGGGGAGCCTATAATTCTGGCTCCTACTGTGCTTCACATTTGTTCATCTGACCTTTAACCCTTTGAAGCAGGCGATTTTTACCATGTCTTATATTTGAGGCCAACAAATTTAGAGAAGTTAGATGGCTTGTGGGTACAGCTGAGGTTCCAGCTCTTCCCTGTGCACCACCACTCTGGGGGTTATTGTTCTTGGCCTGGGAGGTGGGCCTTGCTTCCTGGGTGACAGACCTCTCTCACCAGGACTGCAGGTGTGATGTGTTGGCTTTTATCTGCAGGTGGGTCTGCATGGGCACTCATCAGTGGAAGATGCCACGACTGCCATGGAGCTGTACCGGCTGGTGCAGGTGCAGTGGGAACAGCAGGAGGCCAGCAGCCTCTGGACCTACCCTGAGGACAGAGAGCACGACAGCAGCACAGACATGGAGCAGTATATGGAGGACCAGTACTGGCCTGAGGACGTGCCCCAGGGCACCAGAAGAACAGGGGAGCCACAGGATGGAAGGGAGTGAGGGAGGAGGCACTTTTGGGCAGGACTCCATGTGGGGTGAGTGGGAGGTGAGGCCAGGAGAGAGCGGGGCAGGGTGAGGCAGGACACAGCCAGCCCCAGGGGCAGGAGTCGGGAATGTCTGGCCTCTTGAGGCCCCTGTCCACAGCACAGCCCTCTGTCTCCCCAGAGCTGTTATTGGTCCTTTCTCCTGACTCCTGTGGTTTTGCTAATGGCACTTTACAGACTCCATGGAAATAACAGGTGTACTATCTTCTGGGGCCCAGCAGGAATAGGGAATGTGCCAACAGATATTCCCAGGCTGTCACTGGCCTTCCCTGAGGTCACCATGCTGTGTTATATAAATGGGTTAATATCTCCCTCTGGGGGTGTTGGTGGGGACATTGATATCCAGGAGCTGCCTTAACTCAGTGACTTGGGATAAAGTTCTGTTCCTGTCTGCCACCTATGTCTTCCTCCAGAGTCATTTCCAGGTTCAGAATAAATATGCCTGGAAGTTGAATAATTAAGTCCTCTAAAACTCATTTCTTCCTCATCTCTCTGACCTGGAATTCTGGCTACAGCCATTGTGGCCTGTCATCTGGCCTTCCATGTGGAGCTGGCCCCTTCACGTGGTTGACCTGAGAGCTCTCCAGGTACAACTTGGGGAGGAGGGGAATCCAGATAAGTTTGGGATGAGAATTGGTATATTTATTTTGACACAAATCCTGCCCACCCAGCACTAAGCTCTCTTAAGCAAAAGCCTGAGAAAGGAGACAGTGGTTTAAATTCTCGGGCCCCTGACCTTTATTAAGAAAAGGGCCACCAGTCTCTAGGGGTGCAGAGTCTGCATGTCCACTGGGGCTAGGGCAGGGCATTGGCAGCTGTACAGTGTTCCTGAACCTCATCTGGTGCCCCCTCAGCTCTTTGACAATCACTGTGGCTGTTTCTCCTAATTTCTAAAAGCGTGCTCTTGTTTCTTGGAGGGCAATTTTGGGGTAGTTGGGTAACCATGAGCTCAGGTCACACAGACCTTCAAGCCCCATCTTTGCTCACCACTTAGCTTTGAGATCTTAGGCAAGTGAGTGATTTCACTCTTGAGCCTGTTTCCTCATCTGTAAAATGGGGATAGTGACAGCCTACTTCGTCAGGTAAAGAGAATTAAACGTTAAGTGCTTAGCGTAGTGTCTGACACTGAGCCGTGGCCAGTGGGAGCTGCTGTTTCCTCTTTAAGGACTGGTTTCAACCTCTTTAGCACTTTTTTGTTTTTGTGGCTGGCCAGTATGGGGATCCAAACCCTTGACCTTCAGGTTTTCAGCACCACGCTCTAACCAACTAGCTAACCAGCCAGCCCTCAGCCTCTTTAGGATAACACCTGAACACTGAGCCCTCGGGTTGAGCAGCTGTGGCCCAAACAGAACTGTTCTTGCTTGGGCACAGGCCAGGGTGAGAACACAGCTTGGAGTTTCAGGGTTATCCATGTATCTTGTCTGTGGCTTCTCATCAGCATCCTGACACTGCAGGAGGTGATGACACAGCAAAACAGCACAGGAGTCAGGGAGGTAGGGAAATCGCTGAAACCACACTAACCTGCCCTTCAGCTGATGCTCTGTTGGGTCACTGGCTTCCTCCCTGTCAGCACAGAGTAGGGAGCTGGCTGAGTCATATACCACTGCTGGCCCCTGGCTCCAAGACTTGTTCCAAATTCCTTAGAAGTCTAGCTGACGCCACACTCAAAGCTGAGCGGTAGCTTTGATTCTTTGGTTTGTGGGTTGGAGGGAGATGGTTGCCAGTGGGAAAGTGTACTGCTTTACATCAGCTATGTTGTAAAATCGTTTGTTCTGTAATAAAACGCAGTTGGAAAAGTGGGTGAAGTGGCCCTTTCTCAATTCTCCAGCTAGGGCTGGAGGGTGGCTTGTTGGGATTGGGGAGGGTCGGGGCACCGAGCCTTGCTGGGTGCTTTGGCCTTTGAGGTGGGCAGCTTTCATGGTGAGGCATTGGATCTGCAGGGAAAGGTGGTGCATTGTGATATGGCAAGAAAATATTAGCGCTACAGAATGCATGTAATTTATTTTTTATTTTATGGTAGAGCACAAGTTTATTTAACTTGTTTCTCCCCTAAAGTTATGTACTTAAAATAATTTTTTTTTTTTTTTTTTTTTTTTTATGGTAGAGCACAATTTTTTTTAACTTTTTTCTCCCCTAAAGTTATTTTCTTAAAAAAATTTTTTTTTTTTTTTATGGTAGAGCACAATTTTTTTTAACTTTTTTCTCCCCTAAAGTTATTTTCTTAAAAAAATTTTTTTTTTTTTTTATGGTAGAGCACAATTTTTTTTAACTTTTTTCTCCCCTAAAGTTATTTTCTTAAAAAAATTTTTTTTTTTTTTTAAAGATGACCGGTAAGGGGATCTTAACCCTTGACTTGGTGTTGTCAGCCCCACGCTCAGCCAGTGAGCGAACCGGCCATCCCTATATGGGATCCGAACCCGGGGCCTTGGTGTTATCAGCACTGCACTCTCCCGAGTGAGCCACGGGCCGGCCCTAAAATAATTTTTTTAATTGTGGTCAAATACACAGAACAAAATTTTACCACCTTAATCATTTTTAAGTGTACGTTTCAGTAGTGTTAAGTATATTCACATTACTGTTGTACAACAGATCTCCAGAGTGTTTTCATCTTGCAAAACTGAAACCCTATACCCGTTAAACAACTCCCCATTCCCTTTTCCCCCAACCGCTGGCAACCACCATTCTACTTTTTGTTTCTATGAATTTGACTAGATATCTCATATGTGGCATCATACAGTATTTGTCTCTTTGTGACCGGCTTATTTCACTTGCGTAACATCCTCAAGGCTTATCTATGGTGTAATGTGTCAATCTTTTTCAGGCTGAATAATTGTATAGGCCCCTTTGTTTATCCATTCATCTGTCAGTAGACGACATTTGGGTTAATTCTCCCTCTTATTTATCATGAATAATGCAGCTGAGAATATGGGTGTACAAATGTCTTTGAGATTCTGCTTTCAATTTATTTGGATATATACCCAGTAGAGGGATTGCTGGATCGTATGGTAGTTCTGTGTTTAATTTTTTGAAGAACCACCATACTGTTTTCCAGTGTTTGTACCATTTTACATTCCCACCAACAGTGTACAAGGGCGTAAGTTTCTCCACATGTTCACTGATACTTGTTATTTCCTGGTTTTTAATAGCCAGCCTAAAGAGTGTAAGGTGATATTGTGGTTTTGATTTACATTTCCCTAATGATTAGTGAAGATTAATATGTTTTATAATATATATTCCATTAGTACAGTTTTACGTGTACGATACTTTTAAAAGTTCATGGAAGAATAGAATTGAAAGATAATACAAATCTTACCATGAAATTTTACTTAGTAACTACAAGAAATTGCTGATATTCAACTGTTTCATATGGTTAACCTATGGTACATAATTTAGAAATACACATACGTATTTTAGGGTTATGTGGCCAGCCAAGGTTGGAGTCGGCTGAGCTGGAAGGGCAGGTTGCCCATAGGGAGAGGTGCCTCTGACACACCATTGTGAGTCATCCACTCAGCGTGTGCCCTGTGCTCAGTGTGGGGGATTCAGAGAGGGCCACGTGGCGGCAGCCTTCATACCTGCTGTGGTCATTACAGGTGAGCAACTGTGGCAGGATGCATGTCTTGTAAGGCTGGCTGACAAATTTCCCCTGAGTGACTCACTTTTCTGCTGTCACCTGATCCAACAAGATTGTGGGCTTTGCCTGCTGATGGGTGATGTCAGGTAAAGCTGGGAGCATCACTACTAAGAAACCCCCTGGTTGGGGTCAGGAGGTTCCTCCCTATGTGCTATTAGTCACTGGTGCCTGGTCCAACCTCAGAGCACACAATATGTTTGGAAAAAACATTCAGCGTGACCTAGGTTCTAGGGGCCCAGCAGTGAACTAAATAGCTGGCAGGGAGAACAGTAAATGAGCAAGGAAAATATACAGTATTTCAGATGGTGCCAATTCTTGTAGAAAAAGGCCAGGAGACCAATAGGCAGTTCATTTTTAAATAGGTCAGGGAAGGTCTGGAGAGACCTGAGGGAGTCAGGGCAAACCAAGTAGATGACCTAGGGAAGAGGAGTCCAGACAGAGGGGACAACAAATGCCCAGGCCCTGAGACGGGAGCCTGCCCGGGATGTTGGAGGAACAGAAAAAGCCAGTGTGGGTGAGGGAGCAGTGGTAAAGGCACGGTTACCTTCATAGTGGTGTTGCCTGTCTCTTCCACCTGAAGCAGAGGTCTGATCTTACTGGTCCCTCTAGCCATCAGGCCTAGCGCTTGGGGGATGCAGGAGTTAAGGACAACTGACATCTCAAGGAACTGGACAGGATCTGCCGATGGTTTGGGAGGAGTGGCCATGTGCGTAAACTTAGGCCCTGAGTGTGGGTTTAAACCTAACAGGTCTTAAATCGGAGAGCGGTGCAATATGAGATTAGAAAGGCTGGTCGGACAGGTGAAAGAGGGTCTAGAAACTGGGAGTTGAGGTTTGATTTTTTTTTTTAAAAAAAAACAGGAAATCACTAAGTTCTTGAGCAGAGAAGTGCCATGATAAACAGGAAACAGAACAAGAAATTAGATGTTGGGAAACTTAATCTAGTACGACAATTTAGAGCAGGGCATGAAGATGGAGGCAGGGAGACCTGGGAGCCGACTGCAGCAGCCACAGGCGAGCACTGGGGGAGGGTGTGCCGAGAAAAGGAGCACAGGGAGGACTTGAAGATGCAGATCGGAAGCTGGAAGCTAACCGTGGAGCAGGCGCAGGACTGTGGGGAAAAGAATTGGAGGGGCTGGATGTGTTCTGAGACCAGAGGAGGAGGGTGGAGGTGAGGTGCAGGGCCTGCAGCGAGGACCGAGGACATTGATGTCTGGGTCATTGCCGGGCACTTGGGGTCCTATGGGGATTGTAGAAACAAACCTTCAATTGGATCTTCATGGTATTACTTTTTAAATGCACAGTCATATAAAGTAACAGGAATATTGCTCCATTTCCCCCTAAATTGGGGTAACAAACTGTATTAGTCCATTTCCGTTGTTTATAACAATACATGGAACTGAGTAATGTGTAAGAATACGACATTTATTGCTTACAGTTTCAGAGGCTGGGAAGTCCAAAGTCCAGGGAACACATCTGGTGAGGGTCTTCTTTGATGGTGGCTTTACAGCAATGCAGGGGTCTCACATGGCAGAAAATTGCAGAGCAGACTCATGTGCTCTCCTTTTAAACCCCTCAGAACCACACTCCTGGCCACCATTATTAATCCATTCACTACTGATGGTCCAGCAATCTAATCACTTCTTTAAGGCCCCACCTTTCAATTACTGTAATAGGATTTCCCACCCTCAACAGTTACAGTGGGGATTAAGTTTGGGGGGACATTCAGCCCAAGCACAAACCTTTACACATTTGAAAAGCAAGAAGTCCCCAAACAGTCTGAATTCAAGCGAAAGTTGCACATTCAGGATAGGAACCAAATGTGAACCAAATGAACAACGAACAGGAGCAGTGCGCTGTGGTTCAGAGGCGTTTCAGTGTTTGGTTTTGTTTTTGACGTCAGTTGAAATCAGCATCCTGCTTGGTGAAAACACCCAGAACCGGGGAAGTTCCTTCCAAACCACAAATCTCCGACAATGGGGGCCAATCAGATCCAGCTGATCAGTGTTCATTCCATCTGGACCTGGGGCAGGAGGCAAGTATGGGGGGCTCTCAGCTCATCACTGTTGAGTGATGGGTGTTTTCCTCATTCAAAGCTGATTCTATTTTTGCCCCAGTTGTAACTCATTCATTATTCAACAAATCCTGAGTGTTCCCTACCTGTCAGGCACTATTCTAAGAGCTCAGAGTTCTAGCCTGTGAGAGTGTAGACCCTCGGAAGTCCAGTCGGGCTGGTGGGGGCTCCCTCAAGGCCTGCTTCTCCTTGTCCTCAAACAGTGTCCACCCTGCTGGAGGCAGAGCCCGCGGGGCACCCCTCACCAATGGAGGCCTGTAAATGCTCCCTTACTGCTTCCCTGCCTGCCCTCGGCTCCATCCCTACTTTCTGTCCATCCCAATTAGTAGCCTCAGTGTCCCAAGACCCAGCACCCCTTGCCCCCATAAAAGACCTCACAGAGTATCAGATGAGTAGTGGGTCCCAGAGGTTGTGGGACATTCCCTGCCTCCAATCCTGGGGATATTTATTCTCTGGGTGGAGGGTGAGAAAGGAAAGGAAGATGTTGCAATCCACTCCATCCATGCAGATGCGTCATCTGAGGAGGGGAGGGCAGGGGCAAAGGAGGAACAGGGGGCCTGCCGCTCTGTCAGCCCTGACTCAGGCTACAGAGCCCCTACCTGTCAGCAGCCAGGAAGTGGAGCAGCCCAGCCCACATGCCTGGCTTCCCGCCCCTGACTTTGCTTGATAACAAACTAGAAACTGAAACAGGGTCAGGATGCCTGGCTTGGGGTTAGAGATGAGTCACCGCTGAGAGCAGCTGCAGTGGCCGAGCAGTGGCAGCAGAGAGGCAGACCTGAGCTGAGGGGGCAGCGGCAGGCAGGTGAGAGTGGGAGACCAAGCCAGGGGACAGGGAGAGGGCCTCCCAGTCCCCAGGCTGCTGGCAGGACCAGCAGGCTCAGGGACCCACAGGCTGCAGAAGCCAGTGGGGGTGGGGGGTGCAGCTTCCCCTGCTGCCAGGTGGTGGTGGAGACAAAGGGCAGGGTGGGGGCTGCAGGCCGGCTGGGGGGTGGCCAAGGATGCTGGAGGTTCAGTTGACTTGTACGTGAGGCCCCCCACTGCCCCTCTCTCCAGCACGTCTGAGAGTCCCCGAGGATCATGGCAGGGAGCCTGGAGGCTGTGGCCATGGACTGTGAGATGGTAGGGCTGGGACCCTTCCGGGTGAGTGGCCTGGCTCGCTGCAGCATCGTGAACTTCTCTGGCATCGTGCTCTATGACAAGTTCATCCGGCCCGAGGGGGAAATCACCGATTACAGGACCCCAGTCAGTGGGGTCACACGCCAGCACATGGAGAGAGCCACACCATTTGCTGTGGCCAGGCTAGAGGTAAGTGAAGGGTCAGATGCCAGCCAGGCCAAGGGGGGATGGCAGACACTCCACCCCCCGCTTCCCTGGCTCCTTCCCTGGGCTCAGGATCTGTGAGCTGTGACTCCACTGTGTAAGATTCCCTGTACTTCTGTGGGAAGAAACCTGTTGTTGGTATCTCCATCACATCCCTGAGAAAGTTTCCTGCCATCAGAGAACTGTAGACTCACAGCTGGGAGCTGCCTTTGGGGCATCTGGTCCAACTTGTTGGTCTTGTAGAAACTGAGTTCCACCTGATGTCTCCCCACGCAGTGACTTGGGGTCTGCATTCCCAATCTTTCCTCTCCACCAGGCTGCCACTGGTAAGCCCTGCAGGGAAATGAGGAATGGGCCCTGGGCTGAGGCCCCCAGCAGGAGGCTCTGGCCCTCCCAGTTCTGGAGGACAGGCCAGAGCCTCCTGGGTAGAGGGCAGATGTCACTCCCAGACTAATGTTTTGGCCCTTGGTACACTGCTCAAATTTGAAGCTCAAGTTTATGGTCCCAAGATTTCCCACCTTCTTGCCCTTTAGCTTGTGATTTCCTCTCCAGGTCTAACTTTCAGTTTCTCTGAATTACTAAGCAGAAAGCAAAACTCACCCTAAAAGTGTCATCAGGGTTACTGACCGCCAGGAAGGTTCAGAAGGGCATGAAAGAGCATCTGTTTCTAGGCTGGTGGGGCGTGGCAAAGTCTGTGAAGAAATCGGGAAATTGAAGTTCTTTTTAACTGCACACACCCAGCGTGTGCCAGACTCCAGGCGCTGGAGATAAAACCGTGACAATAGCTACTGTTTACTGAGTACTCACCACACTGCTGGACACTGCCATCAGCATCGGCATATGTGAGCTCATTCACTCCCCACGAACAGCCCTGCCAGGCGGGCTCTCCGGAGCTGTTAACTCAGAGTTAAGAGGGCCAGTTGGATCCTGGCTCTGCTGCTAACCAGCTGAGTTACCTTGGGCAAGGTACTCATCCTCTCTGTACCCAGTCTCCCCATCTGTAAAAGAAAATTACAACTTTGTAAGGTTGTTACGAGGATTGAGAGAGTGCCTATATAAATACTCAAAAATGTTAACTGTTATGATTGTCTACTTTATTATTCCCATGTTACAGGTGAGGAAACTGAGGCTCACCTGAACTAAGTGTGTTAGTTTGCTAGGGCTGCTGTAACAAAGCACTACAAATTGGCTGGTATAAACAACTGAAATTTATTGTCCCACAGTCCTGGAGGCCAGGAGTCTAAGATAAAGGTGTTGGCCGGGTTAGCTCCTTCTGAGGGCAGAGAGGGAGAATCTGTTCCATGTCTCTCTCCAGGCTTCTGGTGGTTGTTGGCAATCACTGACATTCCTTGGCTTATAGAAACGTCACCCTGATCTCTGCCTTCATGTTCACATGGCATTGTCTGTGTGTGTGTGTGTCTCTGTCCAAGTTTCTTCTTTTTAAAAGGACACCAGTCTTATTGGATTAGGAGCCCACCCTCTTCCAATATAACCTCATCCTAACTTAACTAATTACATCTGGAATGACCCTATTTCCACATAAGTCACATTCTGAGGTCCTGGGGGTTAGGATTTCAACATGTGATTTTAGGAGAGTGGGGCACAATTCAACCCTGGACCTTCACAACCCTGGTGTTATCAGCACCACACTCTAACCAACTGAGCTAACCAGACAGCCGTCTTTTTAGTTTTTTTGTGTGTGTGTGGTTGGCTGGTAATGGGATCCGAACCCTGGACCTTTTTTACCTTTTTAAATATGGCTATGAGGTGATTTAAAATTACATGTGTGGGGCCGGCCTGTGGCTCACTCGGGAGAGTGTGGTGCTGATAACACCAAGGCCACGGGTTCGGATCCCACATAGGGATGGCCGGTTTGCTCACTGGGTGAGCGCGGTGCTGACAACACCAAGTCAAGGGTTAAGATCCCCTTACCGGTCATCTTTTAAAAAAAATAAAATAAAATAAAATTACATGTGTGGCTTACATATATGTAATTAAAAACATATATTTCTATTGGACAGTACTGTTCGAGAAGTATGAAGAGGATACTGGAGGAGCCCTGGGGAGGGCACAGTATATCAGGGTGGTACTGGAGAGACCCCTTGAGGCTAGTGGTATTTAAAAGGATTGCGGGAAAGTCTGTGTAAGCAGTTAAGTGGGCCATAGGGAGCCACTGAAGATTCTTTTTTTAAAAAAAAGATGACTGGTAAGGGGATCTTAACCCTTGGCTTGGTGTTGTCAGCACCACGCTCAGCCAGTGAGCAAACCAGCCATCCCTATATAGGATCCGAACCCGTGGCCTTGGTGTTATCAGCACCGCACTCTCCCGAGTGAGCCACAGGCCAGCCCCTAAGCCACTGAAGATTCTTGAGCAAGGGTAAGGCAGGATAAAAACCAGTTTTAAGAAAACTAGAGTGGGGCTACCATGGAGGAGAGAGATGAGAGTGAGCAAAGAGATGACAACAGGGAGAAGAATCAAAGGCCCTAGGGAGTAGTTAATAGGGCCTGAGTCATCTGCAGCGGACAGAGAATTGGAAAGAAGGAAATGTTAGGAAGGAGGAGACCAAAGGAGAGTCACCAAGAGGGGAAGGCAACGTAGCGAAGAGGTGGGGATCTGTTCAGGTGCTGATGGGAGGCCCAGGGACACTGCAAGGAGCTCCCCACCGAGCAGACAGGTAGACAGTATGTCCCTATCCTTTCTTCTCGTCCCCAGCCTCCCTCCCCACCTGAGTGACAGAAAGGGGTGGAAGAGCCCAGGGCAGGGAGAGGAGGCAGTAGAAAAATGCCTCTCACATTCCCTGGCCTGCACATCCAGATCTGGAAAACTGCAGTTCTCTGGATGCCCCTGAGCACTGGCCTGGGGGTCAGGACACCTCAGTCTTCATCCAGACTTGGTGCAGAAACGCTTTTGTGTCTCAGTAAGAGGTTATGCCAAGCCCAGGCCTTCAGATGGGTGACACAGAGCCCTGCCCAGACTGGAATGAGGCAGGGGTCTGAAAACCAGATAGGTCTTTGGAACCACATTTGAATTCCTGATCCATCGCTTACTGGTTTGTATGACCTTCAGCAAATTACTGAACCTTTCTGGGCCTCAGTTTCCTCATCAGTGAAAGGGAAGCAGTAATACCTCCTCCCCGGCCTCCTGTAGGTTGGATGCAGTGACATGAGCTGAGAACCTAAGCATATTGCCTGGCCCATGCTGATCTTCACTAAATGTGCCCATGGAGAGAGAAGGGGAGAAACCCAGAGTACACATCCCAGTCCCCTTTCCAACTTCCCTTGAGAATTGCGGTCTTAGATGCTGAGCCCCCATTTCCTGCCTGCTGTGCCTAGTATGCTTGCTGCCAATCTCTCCTACCCTGCTGCCAGAGAAACATTCCCCAGCCCTGCTCAGATAACAGACACCCCCTCATTCAAATACCTTCCAGAGCTCCCGTTGCCTGGCAGTCATGGCTCTGCAAACTCGTCTACCTTTCCTGCCTTCTCTCATAGCTCAGCCATTGCCCACCCTGTTGTCCACCCAAACCCTACTTTTCCCTGTTCCCCGTCCTTGTCTAGAGATGCTACCATTCTGGCAGCCCCAGGCCAGAGGAGTCCTTTCTGATGCCCTCCCCTAGTAGTTTTAATTCAGTAGGTCTGGAATAGGGCCTAGCCCTCTGGATTTTTGGGTCAGGCACACTTGGGAAATGCATGGAAATAGAGTGGAAACACAGAGGAAGAAGTGTGCAGGCAGAAAGCCACAACCAGGCCTGTCATTTCCCTGCTGTGTGACTGTGGTACACACTGCTTTGTGCCCCCTCTCCCTGTTGGTCACAGGGTATGACAATCCCCACCTTGTAGGGGCTATATTTCCGATTCCAGAAATCTTCACTGAGTGCCATCATTGGCTTGGCAGAGCTCTCTGTCCCTAGGTTCTCAGTAGGTGATAAAAATAACAACTATAATAATAACAGGGTCAGGTGGATCCAGACACTGCATCTCACCTTTCAGCTTACTAGCTGCGTGCCTGGGCAAGACCCTTAACCTCTCTGATTCTCAACTCCCTTCTCTGTAAAACGGAACTAAGAATAATCTTGTCGAGGAGCCTCATGGTGAGATAAGGAAAGTGCCTGGCACTGTGGAGATCAATAAATGCCCCTCCTCCCACTTAACTTCTTCCAGGAATTTGAGAGATGCCACCCCCTGTGGCGAAGTCAGACACACCTGTCTGGAGACACTGAGTCAGGGTAGGTCCCATAACCCTGAGGCCCAGCCTGCACGCACCTCCCCACCCCCTCCCTGGGCTCCAGCAGCTCCCCCTACTCCTGCCCTCCCCAGCCCTGTCTCAGAAAGTTGGTGGAGCCCTGGCTGCTAATGGGCCACTCAAGCTTCACCAGCACAGGCCCACACCTTACAAATGAGAAAACTGAGGCTCAGAGAGGGTCTTTGACATCCCTGAGGCCACAAAGCAAGTGCCAGCAGTCTTTCCCTGGCCAGTGCCCAGCATCTTTATCCTGAAGGGTTGTTGGTGTTGCTCTGCTAAACAGATGTTCTCTTCTTTCCCTTCTTTTGCTTGTCTACCCCCTTATTTCATTTGTCTCATCATGAGTCCATGGTGCCTAATGTAACCCCCTTCCTGTCCCCCCAGGGACTCTTGGGCTCGGGAAGTGATGAATTTTCCAGGAATCCACATCACAATGACTTGGCCCTCTTATATCTGGGACCGGCTGTGGCTGTCTCTGGTATGGTAGACAAGTTCCTTCAGGGCTTTGTGGGTCCTGGGCCTAAGCCAGGCTCCTAGATGGAGAAACGTAAAGAATGTTAGCAAGAAAAGGCACATGACCCACAGCCACCCCGCACAACCACAACCCCCCACTGCATGCTGAGCCAGTGCCAGCACCGTTTCCTCCACACGGACAATTCCCCTCAAGCTGCTGCTCTGAGCTCATGTGTCCTGTTGTCATCTCTTAGTGTGACCCCCAAAACAGAAACACCACACTTGTTAGAGATGCAGAATCCTGAGCCCTGCCCCAGAGCGGCATTCCGCAGGTGACTCCGAAGCCCATTAGGTGTGAGAAGCGCTGGTGTATTTCTGGAGTGGTGCTCCGTCGCCCTTTCAGTGTGCTCTCCCCAGTCCCCTAAGTTGAACACAGGCTGCTTCTGGAGAAGGCCTCCAACAAAATCGTGTGAATAGCAGAGCGAGCTGGTGAAATTGCCTGTTAACAGTGGATGGACAGACCCTGCTTCCTACACTGTGACCGTGGACAAGCCTGGTTTCCTGTGGTCACCGAGGGAAAACATATTAGAGTGACCACAGGATATCTCAGGAAGCCACCAGCCATCTAGAAGGAAAAGCAGGACATAGGGAAGGTGTTAGCTATCCAGAAGGCTCTTTCCCGGGGCACAGACTAAGATCATGGGCTGCACACAGAGAGATAAAGGCTGTCAGAGAGCTGTCCAAAGCGGGCCTCAAATTATGAGCTGCTCCTCAGCCTGCGCTTGGTGCAGCTCACCCTGTTTACTATTAAGCCCCCTTCCCATTCTCTTTGACAGCAGTCAAGTGAAGAAAGCTGACAGCCACTGTGGCTAGAGCACCGGAGGCTGTCCATGTGGGAGGGGACGCTGGGCTAGGGGCACTGTTGGGCCGCCCCCACAGCTCGGCCGCTGGGCTGGGGGAGGCCTGGAGCTGTCCTGCTTTTCCAGCTTAGCGTGGTGATCAGGAGCAGGCACTAGAGCCAGACCACTGGCTTTGAAGCCTGGCTCTGCCATTAACTAGCTGTGTGACTGTCCCAGTTATCTAATAGTGCTTAGCAAATCACCCCAAAACATAGTGGTTAAACAATGTCAATATTTATTTTGCTCATGCAGCTGCGATCTGGGGAGGGCGTGGCAGGCAGGGACAGCTGTTCAGCTGAGGCATCTTGAAGGCTGGGGCTGGAATCATCTAGAAGTTCGCTCCCCCACTGTCTGGTGGCTGGTGCTGGGCTTCCCCAGGCACGTCTCTCTATCTCTGTGTGGCCTCTCCCTATGTTTTCTCGGCATGGTGGCTTGGGGGTGGGTGAAGTTCTTACATGTCAACTCAAGGCTCCCAGGATTCTAGCCCCAGAGAGAAATCAGAAGTCACAGAGGCCAGCCCATATACAAGAGGAGAGGAATTAGATCCCATCTTTTTTGAGAGGAGCATCAGGGGATTTGCAAACTTTTTTTTATAATCATCAGAGTAACCTTGGGAAAATCACTTCTCTATGCTTTAGTTTTTTCATTTGTAAAATTTGGTTAAATACAGCCTTCCCTTCTCACTGTATGAGTTTTCTATGACTGCTGTAACAAAGCCATCAACTTAGCAGTTTAAAGCAACACAAATTTAATATTTTACAGTTATGTAGTCAGAAGTTCAACATGGGCCTCACTGAGCCAAGGTCAAGGTGCCAGCTAGCCTGGATTCCTTCTGGAGGCTCTGGAGGAGAATCTATTCTCTTGTCCTTTCTGGATTCTAGAGGCCGCCTGAATACTTTGACTAATGACCCCTTCCTCCTCCAAAGACAGCCACAGCATGTCACGTTCTTCTCACATGGAACCACTCTGACCTCCACACATGACTCTTGTGATTATGTTGGGTCCATCCAGATAATCCAGGAAATATCTCTATTTTAAAGTCATCTGATTAGCAATCTCAAGTCTACCTGCAACTTTAATTCCCCTTTGCCATGTGACATATTCTCAGGTTCTGGGGATTAGGATGTGGACATTTGGGAGGTCATTATTCTGCCTGCCACAATACGGTTGTTGAGAAAATTAAACAATATAATATATATGATGTATTTTGATGCATACTTGGCCCTTGGCTATTACACATCTGAGCAGCTGAGGGAGTCTGGGGTCTTCAGCACAGGCCTAAACTGTTAAGTGTGAAGAGGGACCTAGTCCAGTTGCCTCTTTTCATAGATGATATGTTTGAAACCCAGAGAGGGATGATGATTTGCCCAGGGTCACACAGCAAGTCTAGGAGGGGCTGCCCCCTGCCATCCCTGTGACTGCACCAAGTTGCCCCAGACCCCCAGAGGACCCTAGGTGATTATGTGGGGTGTGTGTCTTCCTGGCCAGATCCTACAGCTCCTGAAAGGCAAACTGGTGGTGGGTCATGCCCTGAAACACGACTTTGAGGCGCTGAAGGAGGACATGAGCGGCTATGCCATCTATGACACATCCACCGACCGGCTGCTGTGGCAGGAAGCCAACCTGGGCCACTGCAGGCGCGTCTCCCTGCGCGTGCTGAGTGAGCGCCTCCTCCACAGGCGCATCCAGGTGAGGGCCTCCTCCTCCTCCTCCCCAGGCTGGGGCCCCTTGGGTGGCCCCAGGCCTCCAGGACTCTTTCAAAACCCCCAGTGCAAATATTTGGTGCAAAGACTTTCTGTTCCTCTACTCTTGAGAAACTGTGTGCTTGTGAGAGAGGGAGCGTGTCTTTGTTTGGACTTCCTGAGACAAGGATCAGAGTGCAGAGGTTTGAAGGGTGACCCCAGGACACACGCTTGTAGATGGAGGATGAGGGTAGGGAAGCAAAAGCATCCCCCAAAAGTTTGTTTTTGTTTGTTTAAACCAAGCCAGTTACTCCATGGGAAATAAAGCTTAATCCCACTGCAGAACTCTGGGAATTGGTGTAAAGCACACCCCTCGGACGCGGCCCACGGTAGGGTCCAGGGAGCTGGGTGGGGTGGTTATGTACCAGTTTCCACCAGGCATCAGTTGTTGCTGCTCCTGGGTGCTAGTTCCTCAGCTCTTCTGGCTGGTGGGCCAAGCAGGCACCTGCAAAGCCGGCAGGTAAGGGTGGATGTGGGAGGTGGGAGTTCACCCAGCTGGGAAGGGCAGAGGGAGGCCAGCTGGACACTAGGAGCTGGGACTGCAGACGGGGTCCTCCAGGCCAGCAGCTCCTTATTAAGCACCTGCTCCATGCCAGGCTGGGCCAGATGCTGGGATGCAGGTGAGCAAGACCTGTCCCTGTCCTCGGTAAACTCTTGATTGGTGAAAGGTGGCCCATAATCAGATCATCAGCGTGCATTTTGGGGAGTGTGTGAGGGAGGAAGGGCAGTGCCCTGGGCGAGGGATGAAGGGTGGAGCTGGTGGCACAGGTGACCAGATCTGAATGAAGTTTCAAGAGTGAGTCTTAGTCAAGGAGGGCAGGAGGGGAGTACATGGTGGGAGTCATGAGCCAAAGCTTGCGGTATGGGGGACTGCTTGGCTGGGTGAGTGGGCTTGGAGCATGGAGCCCCTCCCCTTGCTGGTAGGAATTGTGTCCAAAGCAGGGAATGGGCCCAAGTCTGGGCCTCTCTGTTACCCCATGGCACAACAGACCAGTCTGGGCTTTTCTTGAAGCCCTTGTCACTCTGTGGCTTTCAGTGTGGGGCCTTGTTCTGGGGGCTTCAGCCTGAGCCATGGCCCCTCTCAGGCTCTGTCCCCTCTTCCCTGGTTGTTCCAGGGACTCAGCTCCCATCCTACCCCAGCAGCTCCCACTGCATTGATGTCCCCAAAAACCAGCCCCCAAGCCCTCCTGCATTTGGATGGGATGCTACTGATCACTGCAACCAGACAGACCCATAGGACACAAGGCACTAACGTGGGGGATTGTCACAGTTGGGTAAAGAGAATAAAATGGCATTCTGTGGACTCCCCACCCCAAACCACCAGTTCAGTAGGCTGAGCACACAGGAAAGGGAAGGGCCTTCCTGTTCATCAAACTCCCTGGGGGTGCTGGGCACTTGCCATTGTCTCATTTCATCCTCGAAGGCAGGTGTGATTGGGCCCATTTTACAGAAAAGGAAACAGAGGCCCAGGGAGGAAAAGTGGCTTGACCATGTTCACAGAGTTCATAGGCAGGGGAGCAGGGATTCAAACCTGGTTTGTCAGATTCCACATCTGGGGCTTTCCATCTCCCCACACTGGTGAGCAGAGAAGGATGCTCATGCCATCTCCTGCTTCTGTCCTCAGCTTGCTTCTCCACAGAGTGGCAGAGTGTATAATCTCTCTGTGCCTTGGTTTCCTCATCTGTCGAGCAAGGGTGATATAAGGCACCCAGCACAGCAGCCGGGGCAGCACCACGCGACCTGCTCGCTTATTAACAATACAGAGTAAAACTGACAACAAGAAAAAGCTCTTCGGAGCTTGGCTGCCCCATCAGGAGTCCATAACATCTAGTCTGGAATGTCTGGAAAAGGAGCCTTTGTGAGGAAAAGAAGGCCTCTCTGGACAGAGGACACCAAGAAAATGCAGACAGGCCTAAGCAGCCCCGCTGGGCCCCATGCTGGATCCCACCGGGACGTCACGACCTGGCTGGGAACGTGAAGGGAGGTGCGAGCTCACTGCAGTGAATTTGCCTGGCATGGTGTGCTCTTTGGGATAGAAATCCCAGCTCCACCGTCTGTTTCACTCTTGATGAAACGGGGAAGCAATCGTATCCAGCTCAGAGGGTTTAATGAGATAGCACTGAGCCTACTGCTCAGCTCAGAAAGAGGTGGCAACTAAGTGTCCCTTCTCCCTTGAATGAACTGAGTGGCTTCCTCTGACTCTCCTGGGCACCTGCCCCCATAAAGCCTAGACCCCCTAGCACAGCATTCAAGGCCTTTGTGATGGGTCCCAGCCCCCCACCCCTCCATCACCGTCTCTCCTATCCCCTTGGTGGAGCTCTTATTTTAGCTGCACACACCCTCCATGTTTCCCAAATGCTTGCCACGGGTGCTCTCCGCATACTAATGGCCTTTCCCATGTCCCTAGCTGGAGTCCCTCGCTCCTTTCTTGGTATCCTGGAGCTCCTTCTTGGAGCTGTTTCAGCTGCTCTGAGTGTCTGACAGCAAGTCTGCTGCGATCTCCACCATTGTAAGCGCCCTGAGGAAACAGCTGTTTCTCAGGATGCTAGATTTTGTGCCCAGGACTAGTGCCTCTGGCCCCGTGGGTGAAAGTGAGGAAGCCAGGCCAGCTCCAGCCACGTGCTGTGTCTTCCAAGTCCAGGATGTCAGAGGCCTCAGGGAAACTCCTAACCACTGACCCACCTTGGGGCCCTGGAAATTGGGGTGTGAGCAGAGAAGGCCCGGTTCACTGGGTCTCTGGATTCAGCCTCACCCCGAGTCCCCACTCTGTACATGTGTCTGCAGAACAGCCGACATGGACACAGCTCGGTGGAAGACGCGAGGGCGGCGATGGAGCTCTACCGAATCTCCCAGCGACTTCGAGCCCGCTGAGGGCTGCCCCTTCTGGCCGTATGGGACCAAAGCTCAACCCAGCTCCTTCCTTAGGAACTAGAGGCTTTCATCTCTTCAAGACAGCAACTCCCCTGCTTTTGGAAAATGCATTTTTAATAGTAAAATGGCTCAATATTTTCTCTACTTTTTTGTTGGATCCTCTTCTTGTCTTTTCTTTTTTTTCTCTCTGAGCCAGATGAGTGGTGGACAGGACACAGTTCACATGATGTTGACAGAGGGTGAAGACTTATGCCCGGGGAGGGGGGGATGTCAATTTCCTTAATGTCTTGAATCCTGTGGGTCCAAGAAGAAGCTTTGGAATCTAAGTGGCTTGTGAATTAATAACCCCTCCTCTTGCCTCCCTTTTCCTGTCACCCAGAGGAGTAGCTTTATTTTCTGGGGTGGCACCCAGCTCAGAGGTTCATTCATCTCTTTTTTTTTTGTCCTTTTTGAGACTGGCCGCACCGCACTCAGCCAGTGAGTGCACCGGCCATCCCCATATAGGATCTGAACCCGCGGCGGGCGCACTGCTGTGCTCCCAGCGCCACACTCTCCCGAGTGCGCCACACTCTCCCGAGTGCGCCACGGGCTCGGCTCCATTCATCTCATCTTGAGGCTGGTGCCACAGCACTCGTGAGCTTCAAAACAAAGGTACAGGAAGTGTGATGGGTGTCACCACTGGTGACCTTGAGCTAGTCACCCCTCCTGTCTAAGTTCGTTTTGTGCTGCTGTAACAGAATACCACACACTGGGTCATATATAATGAACAGAAATTTATTTCTCACAGTTCTGGAGGCTGGGAAGTCCAAGATCAAGGCATCGGAATCTGGTGAAGGCCTTTTTGCTGCATCACCCCATGGGGGAAGGTGAGGGTGGCAGGGAGAGGGGGATGTCCTAGCTTAAGCACCCACCAAGTGTCAATAAGTAATTCTTATTCCCTGGATCACCTGCAGATCTAGGGGACCCCAGGGAAAGCAGCTGCACTCTGTTCTGAGGGCCTGGCTCTCTGTGGGAGAAGGGTCTGGACCACAGCTGTTCTTGCTCATTAGAATCAACTGTGGAGTCCTTTTTTAATCTGCACTTGGGTCCCACTTCAGACCCACTACACCAGAATCACTGGGGTAGGGCTCAGGCATCTGTTAGTTTTTTAACCTCCACAGGTGATTCTGCTCCCAGGACATCTCAGTCACCTGAGGCACTTTCTAAGCAATCCCAGTATCTGAGCTCAGTGTTCTTAGCTAGAGCAGGCATTGATATCACCTGGAGGATGCTGGGCCCACCACCAGAGTTTCTAATTCAGCAAGTCTGGGGTGGAATGCAATAATATGCATTTCTAACAAGTTCCCCACCGATGCTGATGGTCCGGGGACCACGCTTTGAGGAGCACTGCCTAAGCATCAGGTGATTATAATGTGCAGCCACAGTTGAGAGCCACTGGCCCGTGGGTGGCTGAGTGCCACCAGGTGGGCTTGGTCACTGGTCCAGCCTGTCCTTCTGCTGTCTCCCTTGGCTGCCTGCTCATCAGAGAAAGATCTGCAGCTCTGCAGAATGAGTCCTAAATAGTTCTACTGCACAGACGAGGGACTCAGGTAAGGTTAAAGACCCAAGGGATTCCAGTCCAGACCTGCCTGACCCCAAACTCAAGTCCTCTTCCCTCAGACTTTTTACAATGGCAGTACCTCCCATCTGTGCCTCTGACCTCTGGGAATCTGGAGGGCTCCTTCCCACATCTGGGAGGGAGCAGCGTTCTCTCCTGCCCTGTCCCCCAAGTGTCAGGGTCATGATCAGCTCTCTATTGCTTTTTGATTTTTTAGGAACCTTCGAAGTTGCTGGGTGTGTGGCCTTGTCTGGCTGTGACTGGCCACCAGGTGGTGCCCTTGGGCTATCTGTGGGCCAGCTGCCTCGCAGGCAGAACCAGCCTGAGAAACACTTTGGGATGAGGTGTGAGGGGCAGTGTCTTCAAAAATGCCTAGCGGGCTGCTCAAGGGACCCTCTAGGCTATCGTCACTCAGCCACAGAAGCTGAGGCTCAGAGAGGGGCTGGGACAGTGATGCAGCCTGAACTAGGAGGTGACCCCAGGCTCACCAACTCCCACCCCAAGGTCCTGTCCACAGCTTCAGACTTCCTTGAAAAGAGAGACAAACCAGGATTCCAAGAGGCAGAGCATTCCCAAAAGAAATCTCTAACCTGATTTCCTGCTTCAGGCTGTGATGCTTGGGTGCCCAGAGGAGAGAGAGAACCTGCACCTCCCCCACCTCCCAGGTGTCAGAGGGGAGGGTTAGGACCCCACAGGGCGGCAGGTGCTTTTGGTCCTGGCCCAGTCACGCCCCACTCCCTGTGCAGCCAGTTTTTTGTTGAGTGAAAAACACAGACATTGAAGACTCTAGAATGAGCACAAGCTTTAGGGTCAGGCTAACCTGGGCTGAGGACCTGAAATGAATGATGACAGGTGAGTGTCTCCCTTGCATGAGGCTCAGTGTCCCCATCCATCAGGTGGGCTTTCCCACCGCGGGGCTGAGGAGAGGATTGAGATCTTGTACACAGGGTGCCTAGCAGCCCCGAAGGACTGAAAAACAGCATCTATTCTGACCATAACAAAAATAAAGAGCAGCCTCTGGGCTGCCCCTCTAGAATCCTGGACTAGCTGGGCCTGCAAATGTCGGGTCCATTCTGATGAAGTTTTAGAGGATCAGGAAGGGAAGATGATGTTAATTGAGTGGCTGTTTTGTAGCTAGTTCTGCACTCAATGTGTCATACACATAATCTTATACAGTCCTCCAGGAACCCTGGTTATTAATTTCCCATCTTACCAATAATGAAACCAAGCCCAGTTCCTAAGCCCAAGCTCTGTTATCCCCAGCAGACCCACTCATGGTGTCCTGGAGCAGCCCCTCAAGAAGGAGACCAGGTAAATACCCAGGAGCCAGCTCTTACCTCGTGGCTAGGCTCATCCCGGGCAACTTCCACTTCAGCCTCCTCATTTGTGAAATGGGAATGTTAGTCCCAACTCTTGGAGCTATCATGGAAATAAATGGGACCAGAGAAGTGAAACTACTTTGACATCTGTCCCACTCTGCATAGGCATCAGGTGGGATCTCATTCCCGCAGATGCCACTCTCTCCCAGTGCTGCCCTCAGTTCTGAAAAGTATGAGTCAGAGCCCACCCCAGGCACGCAGGGAGGAGGTGAAGCTGGGCTTCTTAGACCGCCTCGCCTTCCGGTCTCTTCTTCCCAAACCCTTTAGCTCCCCCAGGTTAGCTTCCTGCCTCCACCTCCCCCATACCCACTGCTGCGGCATTCTTCCCTGGGCCCACCCTCCTGGACCAGGGGAGGGGGGCATCTCGCTTTGTCCCTTCTCTCTCAATTCACAGTGCCCTTGTGCTGGGTGCCCAATCCAGGCTCTAGACACCTGGGATGACTATCTCTGTCCCAGGGCAGTAGGGCACTGTCCATGACGGTCAGAGCCAGTCTCAGGAGACCATGATAGATCCCGGCATTATGGCAGCAAGGAGGAAGGGCAGTGTTGTGGTTTCCAGCCCAGCGGGAACTCTTGTCTGTAACTCGGACAGGGCCGGCAGCTCATCTGGTCTCACTGAGCCCACGGAAGAGTCTGTTGTCTTACAAGGTCCTGCCTCCTCCTGCTGTCCCAGGTGGACCTGCAGGGCGGAGCCCTGGGGGCGCCTGCCCTGTTGAAGTGGGCAGTTGCCATCCAGCCCCAGCTAACGGTGGCCATGCAGAAATGCTGGCCAGTGGGCACATCTTCGGGGCTGTGTCTGGCCCACAGGCCACCAGTTTGAGACCTAAGCTTCAGTCTCCCTCCCAGCCGATACCTGGCTCCTTTCAACTGGGGGCCATCCACCCTTGGCCTGGATGTGTCTAATGACAGAAAATTAACCATCTCAAAAGACTCCTCAGAGGGTTGGGCCCTTGACTTATGCACAGCAGGGTTACCCCCTAAAACACCATCCATGATAAATCCAATCCCACTTTGACCTGGTGACCTGTCACATCTTCAGATGGTTTCCATGTTCCCCTCCTCTACTCAGAGTCTTTGACTTTCCAGGTTCAATGTCACTAATGTTTTCCTGTTATGTGGAGCCCCTCCCTATTTCCCCTCTGCCCCACCACAGCTGACCCACCACCCACCCCAACACCCTGGTTCCTCTGTCCCTTCTCTTCCCACTTCGCCAAGCCCCACTCTCAGTGGATCCTTAACAAATGGGGAAAAGGTAGGAAGAGAACCAGGACCCAACCGAGCCTAAGGGAAGAGCAGCATCCTCCCTCCAGCCCAGGGCTGGTGGGAAGACCCAGAGGCACTGGGCACAGGAGTCACCCCCTGCCACCTAACCCTGAAGGCATCAAGGAGGATGTGAGGGATGGCTGGAAATGACCGTCTAAAAATGGCCCTGCCTCGTTGAACACACCTGAGTCACCTCTGAGTCAGACCCAGACTCCAGGGCCAAGGAGAGAGGGGATTGGAAAGGCCACCCTGCCCCCTCGAGCCCCTCCTCTGCCCGGCCCAGCCCAGCTGAGTGGAGAAAAGTGCTTCTATTCAGGGAAGAAATCCTTCCAGCGTGCCCTGAACTGCTGGATGTCTCAGGCACAGCCCGGCCCCTGCTCCGTCACCACCTCCACCCCATCTTGTCTCCGAGGGTGTCGAGCCAGGCCAGTCCCGGTTCCAAGAGTGGTAACTAACGCTGCCCAGCTTCCTGCCCGGCGTGCTGTGGGCTGGGCTGGGCTCCGCGGCCAAGAGGCTTACTCACCGGTGGAACAATTTCTCCTCTATATGGAAAGAACATGTGCTTTTCCTGCCGGGGGATGAGAGGGTTTTGAGTAGCTTTGCCGAGACGTGGAGGAAAAAGCGAAAGCTGACCTGGCCCCCAGCACCCTGACTTCCAGTGATGTGTGTTTTGTGGCAGAACACGGGTCCCTGGTTTTAGGAAACTGAGCTAATCCCCTCTCTCGGAGCTGGATGTCCTCAGCTCCTCGTTCCCCCACAGTTAGGGCCAGACAGAGGGAAAGGGGACGGACTCAGCTCTGCCGGCCAGTCCCTGCTTGGCCTCCACGGTCCCCTGTGCTCTC